GAAGCTTCAGCAGAATCGTGATTGACCTTTTCTGGGGATCGTAATGAGAGCGAGGCTCCAGTCTGAGGGATAAAGAAATGTGTGGGGGTCTGGCCCGAGCCCACTCGGGTTACAGCCCAGAAGAGCCATAATGGGGAACAGGCACATTCCTGTACAGCGACTCTCAACTCCCTATCTGTTTTCAAGGAAAGAAAAACAGAAAAAGAATGTTAGAGTCTTGGACCGGCATGGGTGAGGCAGCGGCCGTAGTGGCAGCCTGGCTCCGAGGGGGATGCAGCCACGTGGGCCTGACTCTCTGCAGGGAGGAGGGGACAGAGCAGCCTGTGCAGTGGGGCCTCGTGGAAGGCACATGGGGCCCAGACGCAAGAGGACTGAACAGTCCAGCGACTGCCCTAGCACGGCCGCAGCCCTCGAGTGCTGGTGCAGTGTGCCCGAGCCTTTGTCGCCGTCAGAGGTCATGGCAGGACTTTCGGATTCGAACATTTTAAACAATAAAAATTTCTAAACCATGGCCTTGAAAAACAAGGCTTTTTCTCAAACCAAATGAATGTGGACCATCAGGGGATACACTAGATCAAGCGAAAGTTGATGGTGTTCAAGGTCGGCGGTACAGAGGCAGTGGACCCGGCCTCGTCCCCTCACCTATTCCTCCTTGCCTGGGGAGTCCTGGGCCTTCTGACTTGGGAACTGTTAGACTCTGTTACATGGCAGAAGCTGTTGGACAGTGTGTTTCTCCTGGGCTTTTTCTCTTTCCCCAAGTTCAGGGTGGCAGGGTAGACCTGTGAGCCTGGCACATCATAAGCGCCCAGGCAACAGAACGCTCCTTCCTGTTGAATGAAGGGTCAGATGTTGAGAAGCAAGGCTTCTGGGGCAGGTCTGGGAGCTCTTCTCTTCCCCGCAGCTTTGTCTCATAGACCGACTGATAGGAATTATCTCGTAGGCTGTAAGGACCAAGAAGCCAAGCCTTTGTTCCAAATCTCTAGCTCACAGTTTCTGTTCTCCAGCATTGAGCTTCATCACCGGGAAAAGCGGCCGGTGAGATAAACAGTCCCCTGGGCCCTATTGCCCTCCTTGGTCAGGATGACAACAAAAACTTTTAAAGAATAATGAGACTTGACACATTTTTTTTGAGTTCTTCGTGTATGCCAGGTGCTGAGCTAATGGCTTTATAAACAAAATACATAAAACCCTGCAGGATAGTCACACCAGCAAACTAAGGTAGGTATTATCCTACTCATTTTGCAGAGGAGGAAATAGATGTGAAGAGTCAAGGAGCCTGCCAGGACAAGCGGTCTGGGGGTGTGCCAGGACTTGGAGACCAGGGTCATGCAGTGTCCAACTTCTTATTGCTGTTCCTGCCATCACTTTGCTGTCAGGGAAATGCATGCATTTGCATCTGTGCACCATAATGCCCCAGGCCATTCTTAGTGCCCTCCTGCCCCATTAGGTGAGGAGGGACAGTCGGGGTTGCCTCATTCACCTGTCTCCATCTAAGGTGCATTTAAACCGTCTGGAATAGTTTGCCAAATAAAGCAATCTTACAGTGTACTTTATGGGTCTGTTTTTGTATTTAACAACCCTGCCTGTTGTCAGATTACAAGCTGTAGATGGTCAGGGACCATTTCTTTTATTGTCTCATTCCCCAAGCCTATGGAGTTAAGAGTACCATGAATCCAATGGCAAAACAAAAACAAAAAAAAAAAAAAACCAGAATTGTGAAAGCCTGCTTTCTAACTGTTTTTTAAAACTTTCTCTAGGAGGCAGCATAGTATAAAAAAGATAAAGCTTTGGAACTAGCTCTGGGTTCAAATCGCAGCCCTGTCTTTTCCTGCTCATAAGCCCAGCTTTAGCTTTACAACCAGGATGATAGCACTTATTAAGAAGAAATGTAAGAATTGAATGGAAAAGAAATGAAAGTCAGTAGTAAATGTTAGGATTCTTCTTTTTAACTATTTCCACTTGAGGGTCAGGTATATGTATCTCAGGTAAGATTGGGCCCTGAATAGCCTGATAGTGTCCTTGAGATGAGGAGTCACGTACTCCACATTAGCCGGATTCACCCCTTGAACTAAACCTGTATGCCTCAACACTGTGTGTGCATCTTACTGACTGGACATAGGGATGGGGCTTTTAGCCATGGTCTGAGTTAAAATGCATGGAAATAGCTGGAAAGTTATGCCCACTGGAAAATGGACATCAGCCATCTTTTGGCTAAAGGACAATTAGTGAAAACTGGCCACAAGCATACTGAATTCCCTCATGAAGGGCCAACTCTTTCAATGGCTATCTGGAAACAAATTGAAAAGCAGACAGACATGGATCCAAACTCAAAGAAAACAAATGTAAGCAGCCAGACTTGGAATCCTGAGAAACCAAGTGCAACAAAGGCCTGATTCCCAACCTGGGAATAATCCCTTGCTTCATGCTAGGTTCCTCACTCCTCCTCACCCCTCCACCACCCCCATCGCTCTGCTTTGCTAACTACTGGAAGGGAGACATTGTCGGTTTATGATTTTAACATGGAAGAAGCTGACATAGGCCTGCAGAAGAAATGGGGGTGGGGGAGGTGCCAAAATCTGTGATTAAAAAAAGAATTCATCTGTCTTTTCACTTTCCAGCAGAATTTTTGGTTTTGGACCTTAATTTCTGCCTAGAGTCAGCCTTTCTTTCTAAACTCCAAAGCCGTTAAAGAGGTACTGACCTCTCATTACAGAAAGGAAAACCAGGACTGTGAGAGGTTAAGAGACTTGCACAAGTGGTGGAAACAGAACCCATTCCCAAGTCTGGCTGGCGATGCAGCCCCAATGGCATGTGGGTGACGTGAGCCCGACTGGGACACCCGCCCTGGCAGCTGCATATCGAGTCTAGGAACTGTACATTGTCCTAGTAAAAAGTGGAAGACAACAGACGCGACCCATCAGAGCTGCTGCATTGGACCCTAGGGACAAACACCTTGTAGGCCATTGCTCACCTGACTCCTAGGGTCATCGGGCAGACAGACAAGCTGATGTGATTCCCTCGTGAGGGAAACTCCCTTGAAAGACCAACAGAAGTGACCTGTGTGTTCTGGCCACCCAGCTCGCTGGTTAGAGCAGCACACGGCACTATCCCTGGGGTTCTGTTTTCTCAGACCCTTGGGGCGTGACTTGGTGCCATCACACTGGGTCGCAGGGTGAGAGGAGAGCATTGAAGGGACATTTTTTTTTTTTTCCTTGTTGATCACTGAGCATATAAGCAAGTAGGGAGCATGAGGCCTGAAGGAGGTGGACAAGGAATCAACAGTTGGGAGGCCTCATACCGGTTCATACTGTGTGGGATAAAATACCTCACATGCCTATTTTGCTTCTAAATCATCCAATTTTAGAGTTGGAAAGGAGCTTAGAAACCATGTAGCCTGGCTCATCTTGCTTGATCTATTTTTAAGTCATTTTTATTGATTTTTTTTCTTTGTTTGAAAAGCAATACAAGTTCACTGTAGATAACTTAAAAGTAGAGATAAGCAAAAAATGAAGGAAAAAAGTACCTATTATGTCACTTTCTAGACAAAGCCCACTACTAGGCATTAACTGTGTTTTCTTCCTTCTCTTTCTAAACAGATATACATGTAAAATTTCCACCCCAAATTAGACTGTTCCTTAATGGTATATCCTATTTTTTATTTAATATGTCATGAAAACCCTTTGTGTGTGTGTATGTGTGTGTGTATATCCTTCAGTATAACTTCATATTCTTCCTTGATTTTGTTTGTAATGACTATAAAATATCCCACTGCACCATTTACCTATAATTGATATTACTATTTTTATATTGTTGAACAGTTATTTCTGAATTCTTGCTAGTTTGAATAATACTGTGGTGTTTATCCTAATAACCCTGTTTGGGGCATATCTATACTTGTATTTATTTTTCAAAAATCTTAATAATGATTCTAGCCCTTGCCCTTTATAGAGGAAGAAATTCAGGCACAGAGCTGAGAACTTAGATGTCCAAAGCTCAATAGTAATTTTTTAAAAAATAATTTATGCATACAGAACTGGGGTACAGTCCAGAAGTGCAGGGGTGGTGAAAGGATTCACAGGAGACAGAGTGGGGCACAGAACATGCAGATCAACAAAGTACACTGTTGAGGGGAGCAGCAGGTAAGACAGGAGAGGTCTGTTGTGCCTTGTGGGTCAACCTCCAGGGTGGGAATCGAATCGCACTGAGGCAGATGCAGCCAGCTTACACTGTGCCACCAGGGAGGGCCAGCAATAGTAATTCTAAACAGAGGGAGACTAGATACCAAGATCCCAAATGTTCAAGACTAGACTTCATCTAGTCTTCCTCATCAATCTTATTCCTAGTAAACTTCATTGGCTTGCTAAAATTCAGCAACTGGGTTGAGTACATTTTTAGAAAATCCAATTCTGGGAATTCTGGACTTTCATTCTTCCACTGGTCCTACCTGTCCTGCACTTACTGTTACCAATCAGTCATAGCGCTCTTTCCCCTTGATGGGGCCACGGGTGCCTCACAACCTAATGCTGATGGGTCAGATGCATCACAGGGACCCTGAGACAGAAAACCTATTTACACCCTTCGTCCAATTTCTTCTTTATCCAAGGGAGAAAAATGCAATTCTCAGAAGGAAGGGCCTTGTTCATAGAGGTAAGGGAAATTTAATGGCAGGAATCAGGCCAGCCTGGTTTCTCTGGACAGAAAACACATCTCCTTGTTGCCATTTTCTGTGTTTTTGTAATACATTATTTCACCTCATTTGAACTTAGGCTGTAAGCTCGAGAAGTGGGTATTAATATCTCCATTTTTAATTAATTAATTTTTAAAGAAGTCACACATTGAAATAATCATCAGGGCTAGATCTAATCAGTGTTACTTTCATATCCTGTGCGCTAATCCTCTTGATAGTAGTGTCCAGACATGTCGATGGTTTGGACGATAGCAAGAATGTCTGCTCACCAAGGTCTGAGCTAAGGAGCTCATCTTTCTTTGTCTCTCTCCAGGAGAATTCCTGAGTTTTGCTGATGACTTACTGTCTGGCCTGGGCACATCATGTGTCGCAGCTGGTCGAAGCCACGGAGAGGTCCCTGAAGTCAGTATCTACTCTGTCATCTTCAAGTGTCTGGAACCCGACGGTCTCTACAAGTAAGGCATGCTGGGTATGTGGGGAGCATGAAGCAGACAGGACAATCGTAAAGGGAAGGCATGAGTAATTTGTCCAGGCCAGCCAAATGTTTTACTAGCCAGCCTTGAGTATGCACCTTGAGATGCTAAGGTTGGGGAGTCCGTTGGAGGAGTGTGGCCATGATGAGTCACTAATTCATACAAAGTTAGGGCTGAATGGTCCAGGGAAACCAGAAATTCAAAACCATTTTGCTACCAATGATCTGCAGCCCGGAGAGAAAAAGGCTAGTTGGCAAGTAGCAATCCCTGTCTGGGATTCATTTTTCCATTCCATGATCTCTCCTCTGAATGCATGAAGTATATACATGCACATAGATGTAAAGTATGTAGAGACAAAACTTTTTGATTAATAGATCTAGCCAGTTTCTTAGAACTAGGGCCTTAACCCCTCCTTCATCAAGTATATTAAAGTCATTGCATCCAGACTTCTGGGGACTCAAATGGGAGTCATTCTCAGGCTCCTCTACTGGCCTCTGAGGGGGGGGGAAATTATTTTTCTTTTGCTTCCAATGTCAATGGGTGTTGTCACATCTGGATGCAGCTGCCACAAGTTCTAGAGTTTTAGACGGCAGCTCTCTTCATGTGCTTTAACTATGAAACTATAGGTCAATTCTCACATGAACCCAGAAGGGCACAGTTGTTAGCAAGGTAAGCAGTATTTACCAGCTATTTAACACGTTCATTTTTTTTCTTTTATTCACTCACCAAACAATTCATTCACTTAACTATCTTTCTCTCTAATCATGTATCCATGCCTTTTCTCTTCCCACACCTCTCCTTCTTTCCTTTATCCACTGTCCACCTACCCATCCAACTGTGCATCCATGGATCCATCCACTCATACTTGCTATTGTTTATTGACTTTATGGGCTGTCTGAGAACTAGTGTGCTTTTCAACCTTCAAACCTTCAGTTCCTCCCCTGTGAAAATGTGCTTAAAATAAGGTGTTGGGTTCAGTTGGGGGCGAGACCATCCTCAATGGTGGTGAGCTTTGTAGGTGGGGTGATTGTCCATTTTGCTTTAGTTCCCCTTGTGATGACCATTCTTTTGGGCTCCCCTAGCCCCCTCTGCCCTCCACTATTGGGGAGAGCATATAACAGAAGGGCCAGAACCCTCAAGTGGTTCCCAGCCACTGCAAGACCAGCTGGAAGCCTGTCTCTGTGGGGGTGTGGGGTTAGCCAGCTGTTATTCTACAAGTTCACTTTGTAGAAAGCCAAAAACTGTTTTATGGAACCCCCAAGTAGTGAACACTGAGCGCTGATGCATCCTCTGACAGCCCTTTAAAATGCAGCTTCCCCTGTGCTCTGCCTCACAGCGTACCTGCAGAGCAGACTTTCCCCCTTACCTCTTCTTGAAGTAAGAAGCAGACTTTCGTGTGTCCTGGAAATGTGCTTGTTGTGACCTTGTCATCCCTAACTCTGAATCCTTCTTTATTTCATTTTTGAAGTTGATTTGACTCATGCCCTGGGGTTCGGGCCTCTTGATAAGGAGCCAGAGGGCACTGGGCTAGTGTCTTACTCCACTGGCGCTCTCCTCCTGTGAAGTATCACCGAATGGGTCTCAAGTTTTAAAATAGTGCCAGTGGCAGTCCTTGGGGTTTCTCATTTTCTGCTTGCTCGTTACTTCCCCAATTTAGCTTTCTCCCTTGTGAGCCAAAAAGGCCATGCACGGCAGTGGAAAGAGCTCTGACTTGGGGACAGTCCGAACTGGGTGTGAATCCGGATTCTGCCTGGCACTCATAACCTGACCTGGGGAATGTCATTTCTCACTGCTCTGGAAAGAGGCTGGTAATCCTGCCTCAGAGGGTCTCAGGCAAGAAGCTTGAACGAGGAACTCTACAGTCAGGGTTTGCCAGATTGCTGGCCTCCAGCAGGCCTGCAGGAAATATCAGTTGCTTTCTCCTTCCTGTTTTGTTCTTTTTGACTCAGTGTCAGAGTTATCAGTGTCTCTTATTGCAAGGGCAGAACTACGGGAGATCTCCTGTGTATACCAGTTTGACTTCCTACCATCCCTGGGAAGAATGGTCATTCAGGATCTGCTGGGTGAGACAGGATGACGAGAGACGATGGGTCTAGTCCCCTAGATTTAATGAAGTGCAGTCCCCTCCCAAATGCCCCAGCAAGGCTGCCGGTGGGCCTGATAGAAGGATTTAGAGGGCACAGGTAAGGCGGCGCTACCCTGAGGTACAGAGTCTGGGTTTGCATCTTGCTACCATGACTTCCGCCCCCAGGACTGTGGACTCCATGCACAGATGCTTCTCCAGATGCTGCAGTTTCAGCATCTTCAGCATGAAGGTGTGTTAGGTGTACCCCGTTTTGAGAGTTCTGCCTGAGGATTTCTTCTCTCTTCCCCCCTCACTCCTGCTGCCCAGCTTTCCCACCTCCCTCACTCGGTGCTCTCCCTCTCATGCTTGCCTGCATCTCCACCCACCTCTCTGTCCTCTTCCTCCCTCTCTGCCTGAGTATTTTCTGTATAACTCACGGCTGCCCTTCTCCCAGTCAGCCCTTCTTTGCCTTTCCATGTGTGAGTTTTTGCTTCTGCATTTGTATTGCCCTCCGTTCTTACTTGAGGTTTAGTTCCCCCCTCTTTCTCTCTGAATGTGGCACCCCTCCCTTCCTACTCCCTCTCTCCACCCCACCTACAAAGGCAGATTGCTTTCGCAGCCCCTCCATCCATGTAATTTTGCACAGTGCCTCAGGGTTGAGACCCGGAGGAGTGAAAGTCAAGGCTGATTTTCTGTCCTAAGCTCACCCTGGTGTAACAAAACAGAAACATCAGCACCCGGCCCCTGTTTAAATTGAATTTCCTTGTTTGTTTCATTTGTTTTGCTTTTGAATGAAAACAAACAGAGCAGTGGAGGGAGAGTGTCCCCTGAAGACCCAACAGTGTGGCCAGCCGGGTCCCCTCAACTTGCTGGAGTCCCAAGGTAACCCCAGGCAGGAACCTCCGCTCAGGTTGGGTGGGTCAGGCCAGGCCGGGCATCCTTGGTCCTGCCCCTTGCCTGGCTAGAGGCCTGGACACCCTTCTTGTTGCCGCTCCCCAATTTCCTATTACCCAGGGTAATTAGCCTCTGTCTTGTCTTGGCCGCCTTGCCTTTCTCGAATCATGGATGGCTGCCAGTGAGTCCTGAGCAAACACGCAGCGGCAGCCAGGCACGATTCCTGGGGTGGGGGGCTCATTCCCACACATTCGGAGGCTTGCCCCAGGCCCGCCCTCACCTCCCTGGCCTCAGCTCTATGAAAGGAATGCCAGCAGAGCTCGGGCACGACAACCACGCGCCAGCATCCCTGCTGGGACCAGAGGCTCGGGCTAGGGCCCCTTCTCAGTCTGAGTGGGTGGAGTTGGAGCAGAGGAGTCGAGGGAAAACCAGGGCCCTGGAGAAGGGCAGGCATTGTGAAGAAAGAGCCGGAGGTCAGGAGTCAGACGGCAGTTCCCACACTTGGATTCTTGACTTGTATCAGTGAGACCTGGGGCCTTGCCTCCCCCTCCTTCTGCCTTGATAAGCTCATTTGTGAAATGGAAGCGTCTAGGGCTTGTCCACGAGGGGAGCGTGGACACTCCCAACAAGTCCCGATGCCACCGCCACTGGCACATCCAGGCAGAGCAGCGCTGGGGCTGAGCGTAGCCTCCGGACACAGAACGTGCGCACAGACCATGCTGAGGGGCTACGCATCTTCTGGCTTTGGGTTCGCCATGACCTGTGGCTATGCAGTGACCGTCAGCATCACCACCCTCTGCATCACCATCGTCTCCCATTTTATAGGTGGGGAAGCTGAGGCGTAAGGGAGTGAATGTTTCATCCCAAATCACTTGACATGAGATAAAACTGAGACTGAGACCCATGCTGACCTGAATGCCCCCGCCCCCATCCTTTTCCTGCACCACAAGCCATACTAGAATGTTCTACCAGCCCCGTTGAGGGCTTGAGAGGCCCCAGCACCACCTGCAGGTCCCCAGGGCAGGTGCTTCACACCGCTCTTCTCCTCCCTAGAAGGGGGCTCATGAGGAGCACCATACAAGGAAGATAAGCAGCCCCCCTCCCAGAGTCGCTGCTGAGGGGAAATGGCATCACAGATGAGAAAGAGTGCTGCAGTGTTCCAGAAGGTTACTCACAGGAAGGGCACCAGCACCCCTCTGTGTTTGGCTGAGGTTAAAAATGAGGAGGTCATTGGGTTCTCTGAGTCCACCCTCCTCTCCCCACCCTTGACCCCAAAGGCATATTTTAAAAGCAGGCCTTTGACACCAGATAGGACTAAGTCTTTCCCTCCAGTGCTTCATCATGTTGGGCCTTGGTTCAATTTATTAATGTCTCTGAGGCTTCGAGTTTTCATCTGAAAGACCGAATCCTCGTAAGGCCCAGGTCATCGCCTTGTGAGGATACAATGCGCTGACACATCAGGAGCATAACCTAGTGCCCAGCTCATCGTGGTGCCGCACACTGCCAGGAGGAACCAGTTGCCATGGTTACTCCTAACTGTGAGTGCGGACTTGACCCAAACACAGTGCCTGGGGTCACCCTGTTAGTGCCCTGGAGGTCACAGCAGCCAGGGGGAGAGCAGGTTAATTGCTGCCTGGTCCCTTTCACTCATCTCTCCCTAGCTATCCTTGCTAGAACCACCCAGTCTCTTCCTTCCTCACGGTCCTTGCTTCTACTCTTCCCTTTCCCTGGGATGGCCTTCTCTTCTCTCTCCCCACGATGGTGCTTTATTCTCCGGCAGTCCCCTAATTAAGTGGACCCTCTCAGGTGGACATCCCTTGACCACCTTACTGATCATGGATCTTTCTTGCCACACAGAGCTGTGGTGCTTGCTGAAGCTGCGATGAGGTAGCATCTGTTTCTTTGTTGTCCATCTTTTCTCAGAAGAGTGTGAGCAGCTTCTGTGTCTCCTCTCTTTGCCCTGGTCCCGGTGGTTTAGAGTGGTACCTGATGCCAGGAAATAATCCAACAAATAATTATTAAA